GAGAGAAGCAACTGTAGAGCATAAAACCCATAATGGAATATCACAGCTGGGGCAGTAGACTAACAGGAGACACATTAGCACCTGGGAGCATAAGGAAAGAGGGTCCAAAAGTGGGGTGGAGACTCACGAATCTGACGGTATAATTTTCCTCTGTTGCTCGATCTAGGACTGATCCTACCTTAAGCTAAGAAGAAATGAGTGATCTCAGAGGCCTGCATCAAGGGATCCACAGAAATATGGGTAGTGGGTAAAAAATTTGAGGAGGGTACAAACTACTGAAAAAGAACTACTCTTTCAGGAAGTAGTCAGCTCTTACAAAGAACACAGAAGACTAGATGTTTCTGTTCTTTAGTTCAAATGGGATTGAGGAGTGGAACACTGATCAGGTAAACTATTTTAACAATTAACTACTGAGACTTTCAGAGCCATACAGAACATGAGACTACTGACAGGGCTTCCCTTTAGTGGAAGACTACTGAGATGTGTTCACTCATTTACATGGAAGAGTCATTTCCAGTCAGTGGATTCCTGGCAGCCATGAATTTCTTCTGTAGGATCCTGTGCTAGTTGGAGAGAAGGATCCAGCTGTAGTATCAGGGTCACCTGGTGGTAACTCAGCCTAGGGATAAAATGACTTTTGATATTTCTACAGGAATATCTGAACTGATCATGTGAGGCAAAGGAACAAAATAACCAAAAAAGAAAAAAAGCACCTTAATAGCGGGAAAGCAGTAGCAGAATAAGTTTAAGAGATAGAAACAACAGAATTTTGTAGTGGTTTAGGAGAGGAACCAAAGAAATTTCTTTTTAAAAAATAACTACCTCGGGCTTCCCTGGTGGTGCAGTGGTATAGAGTCCGCCTGCCGATGCGGGGGACACGGGTTCGTGCCCCGGTCCAGGAAGATCCCACATGCCGCGGAGCAGCTAGGCCCGTGAGCCATGGCCACTGAGCCTGCGCGTCCGGTGTTCCGCAACAGGAGGCCACAACAGCGAGAGCCCCGCGTACCGTGCACACACACACACAAAAACTACCTCGTCCTTCCTCTGCCTGCTTTCCTTTCTTTTACTGAGACTGAAAACAAATGGTGTATTTAGCCAATGAAAATGAGAGCCCCGTAGGATCTGGGGGTGGCTTCAAGGAGAGGGAGTGTGGCACAATGACTTCTCTGGGTTTAACTGGCTTTGAAACCTCTTTGTATGGCTGCCAAAGTTCCACCTAGCAAACAAGCAGGTGCCTGCTTTTCAAGACCAACGAAAATGTAGGAAAAGTAAAGTGCTTTTGAAAGTGAAGACCTTCTCCCTGCAGGTGACATTCTCCCTACTGTGGTCTAACTCCAATGGCAATTAATTCAGCTGGAAGCCCTAGGCTGCTGCTTTTCTTCCTTCTCCCCCTTTGGCACCCCTAGGACCCCAATAAATGTGGAATAGATAAGTCTGGATTGAAGCGTACTGATGCTGGTATTTCCTCCCACAACTGTTGATGCTTTATTTTAAAAAATTAAATATATGACAAAGCCAGAGAAAATTTAATTCGAGGGAATAGAAACCTGAAGACAACTGAAAAGCCCTAGTATGTAAATCAATACCAAAAACCCACTAATGTTTCTCATATATGTATACATGTACATTTTTTTTTCTTCAAAGGACTACAATTATATTTGGTGAAATTAAGTACAGGTAAAAGAACTAAAAGCAGGACAGGCCTTCACATACCCATGTTTTCCTTTGATAAGGCATCATCTGAACAAACATTTTCAAAAGATTTTAAAATAGCTTTCCTAGAAAAAGAATTCGACAGATTTACTTTCAAAAGATCAAGCATGTATATTTAAATGACTGCTCATGCATATTCATTGGTAACTGTAAATTATGAGTATATATTTCCTACCTTGGGGTACTTTTTCTTTTTTGTTGTACACAGTAAGTAAGGCAGTGAAAAACAAAATAATACTGATCTGAGCTCTCACTAGGTGAAAACCACTAGTAATCTACCCAGCACCTTACACAGCCTTTTTCGTGTAATCCTCCCTCCAAAAACCTACCAAGTAATTGTTACTCTCATTCTGAGCATAAAGAAAATGATGCTCAGAGGAACTAAGAAATTTGACAACATAGGAAAATGGTTGAACGTGACAGTACTAAATTCTGTCAGACTGCAAAATCCATGCTTTTCCCACTACACCATGTTGCTGATTTAGAGTCAGAAAACATCTGTTCAAACGCATTTTCTCTAACCAGAAGATCTTGAGAAAGTCACTTAAATTCTTTAAGGCACAAATTCTTCATCTTTTAGGTGGAGATAATTATGATATACCCCTATCTATTTGATGGGGTTACTGTGAAGTGTCAAGATTAGGAAGTGAAAGTCCTTTTTAAAAATTTCATTATTCATCTTCTAAAAAAGGACAAAGAAGAAGAGAAGGACTGTCATATTAGGCCAGTCTTTGTCTTTGAGTAGGACTCCTTTTCACATAACACTGATTACTATCCATTAAAAAAATAAATAACCTGTATGGCTGGTTCAGTGATAAACACTAAAACTTGTCATCAGTGACTTATTATAAAGGCTTATTTCTGGTTTTCATTACCTATTTTTAAACTAAAAACCTGCTTCTTATCTGGTTGCTCACCTGATATTAATCTTTGAAACTTATAGTTCAACACATTTGTACCAACATAAAACTTTCTCCATACTTCTAAGACTACTACTTATCATTTTATTAATTCTTTTAGAAAATTTAAAATGTATTTCCCTAGAGAAACAAAATTAAGAATGAGGGGGAAATGTCATATAAAAATTAAACCCAATATATATATATTTCAATTTTATCATAATAGTTTGTAATTTAAAAAAGCATACCTTTTCCTAAATTTGGGCTTTTTCTTTTGAGTATTATTTTTGGAAACTTGCATCTGTAAAGTAACAACACAAAAAGATCAGTTAGTTCATATGGGATACGATGAGTTCAGCATAATAATGGATCCTATATGGTCTGAGTAAGTTAGCCCAGAAGAAAAACTCTGGCCCCCAGCCCTAAACAACATATGTAATTCTAAGTCAGCCACTTCATCATCACTGCAATTCCAATGACCTGCTCAACTTCTAGGAATGGTCGACTCATCCAGTACAAATGCCTACCCCCTATATCCACTCTCCCTTCTTCACCTTCCACAAATACACAAAAATACTAAGTAAAACTACTTTTAAATTTTAATTCATATATGATCTTTAAAGAAAGAAAAAGAAATATTCAGATGCCAGAAACATGTGGAATGCAAAGCTGTACAGGTGGGAACTGACATGGTGAAGATCCACAGAGAATTTATACCAGAAAAGGGCCAAAAGGGCTTGGGACTGGGGTTTTAATGTCTAAGCAAGGACAAGATGAAGGATGTGGAGGAACTGGAACCCTCGTACATTGCTGGTGGGAATGTGAAATGGTGGAGCCATTTTGGAATACTGTTTGACAGTTCCTCAATATGTTAAATGTAGAGTTACCCCATGATGCAGCAATTCCACTTCTAGGTATATGTCCAAGAGAAATGAAAACATACGTCCATGTAAAAAATTATATTTGGTCATAATTATGAAACTATGAATGTGCATAACAGCATTATTCATAATAGCCAAAAAAGTAGAAACAACCCAAATATCCATTAATGGATAGATAATATGTGATAGTGAAGTACTGACACTACAACGTGGATGCATCTTGAAATCATTACGGTAAGTGAAAAGTTGAAAAAAAGTCAGACACAAAACGCCACGTTGTATGATTTCATTTATCTGAAATGTCCAGAAAAGGCAAATCCATAGAGACAGAAGTAGATTAGTGATTGCCAGGGACTGAGGGGATGTAGAAATAGGCAGCGATTCCTAATGAATATCAGGTTCCCTTTTGGTGGTATGAAAAAGTGTTCTGAAATTAGATAGTGGTATTGGTTGACAACTGTGAACATACTAAGAAACACTGGATTTTACAATTTAAAGGACTGAATAAGTTATATCTCAATGAAGGTAAAAATTTTTTTTAATGCAGTGACATGGAGAAATTGAAAGTAAGTATATACAATATATCAATGATTATTAACAAAGGGAATACTGCTACAGTTTTACTGGTAGAAAAAAGCAGATATTAAGGCAAAAAGCATAATCAGAGATAAAAAGATTACTTAATGCTAAAAGAAACAATCTACCCCCAAAATATAATAGTCCTGAACCTGTATATACCAAAATCTTAGCCTTAAAATATACAGAGAAACAGAATTACAAGTAGAAACTGATGAATTTACAGTTAAAAGGGGATATTTTATTTCTCATAAAAAATTATATCCTAATAATAACTCAGGGGAAGTTTGTATGAAACATTCAGGGAATTCATATTATTATGATGCTAAAGAGTAAGTGATCTTCTTTTTGTGATCTTCAACCTCAAGGTAATATTCAAATAGTTTTCCCAGGACTGTTATATATCTATATGGTAAAAAATATGTATAGAAATACTGTTGTCTAAATCATTGAACTACATCTCCAAAGACAATGTAACGCTATTATTTCTATCTTGTTATTAAGGATCAGCTTATATTACATGCATATTTGAGTATGAATTGAAAGGCTGGTCACAAGTGGAAATGAAATTCAGGTAACAAAGTGAAAACTGCTTTATAGGTACTAATAGAAAGAAATACTGCTAGACGACTACCATAAATTACAGTGAGTTGTGCTGGTCATAATAAATTCCTTTTCTCCTTTGTTAAATACTCCATAGCAGCCAAAATGGACTAGTCAGTATTTGCCAAATGCCCTGTGCTTTCCTGCTCCAGCCTTTGACAACGTATGATGGATGGAGAAGGGCACTACATCTGGAAGGAGAGGGTCTGGATCTGGACGCTGACTCTAGCACCTACAAGCGGGATCACCTTTCATAAGTCACTGACTACTCTAACATCCAGCAAGAGCCTGGCATAAAGTAGACACTTAATAAATATTTTCTGACTAAATGACCATTCTGCATTTCAGGGTTTTCTTTTGTTAAATAATGCTAAAAAAATAACTACCTCAAGGCATTTGAGGGAATATTAATTACATAACATGCCAGGAAGTATCCAACAGTGTTTGGCAATTAGTTGATGTTCAGTCACTGTTTCATTGTTATACTAGTCCACCAGGTCAGTGTCAGAACTCTACCCTTTTTCCTTAGACCATATGACAGAGGGAACTTGGCACTTTGATATGGTTGGACTTTGGTAGTGTATTAGTTTCCCAAATCTGCCGTAACAAATTACCACAGATTTGGTAAGGCATCAGAAAATTATTGTCTTACAGTTCTGAAGGATAGATGTCTGTCTCATAAGAACACTTTGGATTGAGGGCCCACATTATCCAGGATGAGCTCATCTCAAAATCCTCACCCAAAGGATTTGCAAAGATCCTTATTTCAAATAAGGTCACATTCTGAGGTTCCTGGTGGACATATCTTTCGGAGGCTACTATCCAACCCAGTACAAGTATACACTAAAGATTACTTTATCTAATCTATCTCTTCCCCTTCTCTTCCTGTGTTGTACAGCTGATTCTCCTATGTTGTCCAGTCCAATGCTATTCAGAACAAGAGCCACAACATGACAGAATCAGCAACATCTGAGAGCTTGTTAGAAATGCAAATACTCATGCCCATCCCATGCATACCAAATCAGAAACTCTGTGGGTGGGGCCTGGAATCTGTACTTAAATAAGCTCTTCAGGTGACTCTACAGTTTTCCAGGCACTGATCTAGCCCACACCCATCCACACAAATATATTGCTATACAAGTGTCACTGATTTTAAAGAAAACAAAGCAAGTATTAATTCTTTTCTTGGACATAAAAACAAAGAGATGTATGTATAGACAGCATATGCCATTTACTGAAAAAAAAATAACTAGCATTGTGGACTAGAATGGCAAATAAGAGAACTGCCTTTTATTGCAAAGGACAGAAAATCTATAATTGTGTTTATATCAGATTAATATAATCCGCATAAACTGACTTGATATAGCCCATTTCCTTAAGCCACTATTCATCTAAATTAAAAACCTTTTTTTGGCTCACACCAAGGAGTACTTCCCAGAACTTCTGCTGCCAGTGTCCTTGTCCCCACGGTGAGCCACAGCCACCCCCTGCCTCTGCAGGAGACCCTCCAACACTAGCAGAGACCCCTGATGTTGGGGAGAAGTTGAGGTCCCAGAGCAGTCACTGACGGTGACCACACGAAGACAAGTTCTGGAGACTAGGAAGTCCAAGATTAAAGTGCCAACCAGAGCTTTGGGGGAAGATGGCGTAGAGTAAGACGCGGACATCAACTTCCTCCCCACAGATATACCAGAAATACATCTACACGTGGAACAACTCCTACAGAACACCTACTGAATGCTGGCAGAAAACCTCAGACCTCCCAAAAGGCAAGAAACTCCCCACGTATCTGGGTAGGGCAAAAGAAAAAAGAATAAACAGAGACAAAAGGATAAGGACGGTACCTGCACCAGTGGGAGGGAGCTGGGAAGGAGGAAAAGTTTCCACACACTAGGAAGCCCCTTTGCAGGCGGAGACTGCGGGTGGTGGAGGGGGAAAGCATCGGAGCCGCGAAGGAGAGCGCAGCAACAGGGGTGCAGAGGGCGAAGCAGAGAGGTTCCTGCACAGAGGATCAGTGCCGACCGGCACTCACCAGCCCGAGAGGCCTGTCTGCTCACCCGCCGGGGTGGGCAGGGCTGGAAGCTGAAGCTGGAAGCTGAGGCTCGGGCTTTGGTCGGAGCGCAGGAAGAGGGCTGGGGTTGGCAGCGTGAACACAGCCTGCAGGGGGTTAGTGCACCACGGCTAGCCGGGAGGGAGTCCGGGCGGGGGGGAAAGTCTGGACCTGCTGAAGAAGCAACACTTTTTCTTCCCTCTTGTTTCCTGGTGCGCGAGGAAAGTGGATTAAGAGCGCTGCTTAAAGGAGCTGCAGAGACGGGCACGAGCCGCGGCTAACAGCGCGGACCCCAGAGACGGGCATGAGACGCCAAGGCTGCTGCTGCTGCCACCAAGAAGCCTGTGGCAAGCACAGGTCACTATCCACACCTCCCTTCCGGGGAGCCTGTGCAGCCCGCAACGGCCAGGGTCCCAGGATACAGGGACAACTTCCCCGGGAGAACGCACAGCGTGCCTCAGGCTGGTGCAATGTCCCACTGGCCTCTGCCGCCGCAGACTCGCCCCGCATCCGCACCCCTCCCTTCCCATGGCCTGAGTGAGCCAGAGTCGCCGAAGCAGCTGCTCCTTTAACCCCGTCCTGTCTGAGCGAAGAACAGACACCCTCCGGGGACCTACACACAGAGGCATGGCCAAATCCAAAGCCCCGGGAGCTTTGGAAAGGGAAATCTCTCCCAGCAGCCTCAGAAGCAGCGTATTGAAGCTCCACAATCAACTTGATGTACCCTGCAGCTGTGGAATACATGAATAGACAACAAATCATCCCAAATTGAAGAGGTGGGCTTTGAGAGCAAGATTTATTATTTTTTCCCCTTTTTCTCTTTTTGTGAGTGTGTATGTGATGCTTCTGTGAGATTTCGTCCCTATAGCTTTGCTTTCACCATTTGTCCTAGGGTTCTATCTGTCCATTTTTTTTTTGTTGTTGTTTGTTTTTTTTGCTGTACATGGGCCTCTCACTGTCATGGCCTCTCCCCTTGTGGAGAACAGGCTCTGGACGCGCAGGCTGAGCGGCCATGGCTCACGGGGCCAGCCGCTCTGCGGCATGTGGGATCATCCGGGACCGGGGCATGAACCCATGTCCCGGGCATCGGCAGGCAGACTCTCAACCACTGCGCCACCAGGAAAGCCCCCGATTTTTTTCTTTAAAAAAATTTTTTTTTCTTAATAATTATTTTTATTTTAATTATTTTAT